CAGAAGAAAAGGAAAAAAGAAAAACGTTCTTCACAAGAGTACAGGGAAAAGAATAAAATACACATGAACCAACCCCAAAACCAAAAGAAAGACAAAAAAACCAAGCGGAAGAACAGCTATAAGAACGCTATGATAGGGATGAACTCTCACATTTCAATAATTAGCCTGAATGTGAATGGACTAAAGGCACCACTGAAAAGACATAGAATGGCAAAATGGATAAAATATCACCAGGCAACAATATACTGCCTTCAAGAGACCCATCTCACTAAAAAGGACATGCACAGACTCAAAGTAAGAAGATGGGAAACAAATTTTCAGGCGAAGGGAACGCAAAAGAAAGGAGGAGTCGCGATCCTAATTTCAGACAAAATACCATTTAAGCTATCAAAAATTAAAAAAGATACAGAGGGCCACTACATAATGATAAAAGGTTCACTCCATCAACAAGAAATATCTATCCTAAACATATATGCACCCAACATAGGTGAGCCAACTTTCATAAAGCAACTTCTAGGAAAACTAAAGAAAGATATTGACTCTAACACCATCATAACTGAGGACCTTAATAACACCACTCACAACCCTAGACAGATCATCAGAACAAAAAATCAGCAATGAGATCCAGAACCTCAATATGACCCTTGACCAAATGGATTTAATTGATACCTACAGAACCCTCCATCCAAAGACCACAGAATACACATTCTACTCATCACTGCATGAAATGTATTCTAAGATCGACCACATAATTGGCCATAAATCAAGCATAAGCAAATTTAAAGGGACCGAAATTCTACCATGCACCTTCTCGGATCACGGTGGAATAAAAACAAACATTAACTCCAACAAGGTCCCCCCCAAACCCACAAAGACAAGGACAGTAAACAGCATGATGCTAAACAACTCCTGGGTCAATGATGAAATCAAAACAGAGATCAAAAGATACCTGGAAACAAATGAAAATGAAGAAACATCTTACCAAAATCTCTGGGATGCCCTGAAAGCTGTCGTAAGAGGGGAATTTATATCCCTACAAACGCACATGAAGAAAATGGAAGGAGGACAAATTAACAGCATAACAAGCCACCTAAGGAAGTTGGAAAAGCAAGACCACAAAAACCCTAATTTCAGCAGATGAATCCAGACCACTGAAATAAAAGCCCAAATCCAGGACATAGAAGACAAAAAGATAATACAGAAAATCAATGAAACAAAAAGCTGATTCTTAGAAAGGATAAACAATATCGATGGTCCCCTAGGTAGACTGACCAAGAAAAAGAGAGAAAAAACCCAAATAAGCATAATAAGAAACACAAAAGATGAAGTCATATCTGACCCTGAAGAAATACAAAAGATCATTAGAGACTACTAAGTACATTTGTATGGAAACAAACTTGAAAACCTCAAGGAAATGGAGGACTTTCTGACATCACACAACCTGCCTAGGTTGAAAGAAGAAGAAATTGAGACCCTAAATAGACCAATAACAATCAAGGAAATTGACTACGTAATAAGAACACTACCTACAAAAAAAAGCCCTGGACCAGACGGCTTTCCAGCAGAATTCTACAAGACATTTAAGGAGGAGCTGATTCCAATCCGACTGAAGGTATTTCAGGTGATTAAGAAAGAACTCTCCCCAAATCATTTTACGAAGCTAACATCACATTGATACCCAAGCCAAGTAAAGACTCAACAAAGAAAGAGCACTACAGGCCAATATCTTTGATGAACATAGATGCTAAAATTCTCAACAAGATCCTAG